TACAGGCGTGCGCCACCACGCCCGGCCGAGAGGGAGGGCATAGGCACTGTTCTCTATTTTGATTATGGTGGTGGTGATATATTTTGTATCAGCTGAAATTTGAAGAACTATTCACTAAAAGGGAAGAATTGTACAGTGTGCAAATGATACCTTAATTTTTAAAATGGAAAAGGCTCCACTTTTCAGTTGGGTGTGATGGCACACACCTGTGATCCCATCACACTGGGAGGCTGAGATAGGAAGATTGCAAGCTTGAGCTCAGCTTGGGCAATTTAAGAGAACTAAGGACACTCATCTCAAAATTTAAAAGGAGGGGTAGAAGTGTGAAGTCCCTGGGTTGAACACCCAGTAGCCCCTCCCTCCCAGCCCCAAAGATGGTAAGAACTAGCATGTGTGAAGGCCATGGTCCAATCCCCAGTAATGGAAAAAAAAAAAACTAGAACAAATAGAGTGCTTCAGCCGGCACTAATGCGAGCCTGAGGCAGGAGGACTGCATTCCGAGCCTTCACTACACAGGAAGAACTTGTCTAAAAAAAAAACTAAATAAAAAAAGAAAGATTGTTTCAATCTAGAAGCTTTCTCAACTTGCAGCTCATTTTATGATTCATGGCCCTATTTCAACTAAAAAGAACATGAGGAAAAATTGGTAGTGACTAGGAAAGAACAAGAAAAACCAACACAGTGCATCTTGGAATGCCTGAGTGCTTGTAACAAACTGACAAAACTTCAGTGGACAAGGGTAAACTCTGATAAATCCTACAGCATGGATTTACATAATTGAGACATCATATAGTACAGTAATATACATTGGTGCCACAAAAACAGAATTCTCCTTTCTCTTACAATCTCTGCTAGGTAGGTACATAAAGAAAATGACACTATACAGAGGGAAAAATTTGGAATCAAAAGAAATGAGAAGCTGGCTGTGGTGGTACATTCCTGCAATCCCAGCACTTCAGAGGCTGAGGCAGGAGGATCACCGTAAGTCTGAGACCAGCCTGGGCTAAACAGTGAATTCCAGGCCAGCCTGGACTACATGGAGACTGTCTCAAAAAGCTGAAAAAAGGGCCAGGGATCTAGCTCAGTGATTTCAGCACCTGCCTTGCAAGTGCCAAGGGTCCTGAGTTTAATCCCCACTACAATTAAAAAAAAAAAGGCCAGGAAAAAAATATGAGAACTGGAAGCAGAAGTTGGGATCCGATTACCAATTTGTCTGTTCTTCAGTTTGATTCTTCCATTTTCCAATTCATTTGTACTTCCTCCAAGAACTCTACCCACTCTACCTTCTCTGCCAAAACCAGGGTCCCACAGGACAGAGGTAGTCTGTCTCTTCCCTTGACACTTTTACTGACATCTGCGGATCTGTTCATAATAATACTGAGTTTATTCTGCCAGGAACCATGCTAAATGCTACACTGCATTCCCTCATTTAATACTCATAAAACCCAAGGCAGATGTTATTACCCGTTTTTTGTATTTTAGGGTCTCCCAATGTTAACTCACTATGCAACCCTGGCTAGCCTCAAACTTGCAGCCATTCTCCTGCCTCAGCCTCTTGAGTGCTGGGATCACAGGTGTGAGCTTCACCACATCCAGCCTATTACCCACCGTGTAGATGAAGAAATTGAGGCACAAAAGATCTAAATTTTATCTCCAGAGAATCACAGAGTCCATTCTCTTGTTAGACTTTAGACATACATCCAACATCACCAGGGTGCCAGGCACTAAGTCATGCACTGAGGACAGGCCTAATAAGCCAAAGTCCTACTCTCACAAAAAACTCTGGGCCATGGGGTTTGGGTGCAGTTCAGTGGAACAATGCTTGCCTAGAGTAGAGGAGGCCCTACATTCTACCCCACACAGGAAAAAAAGAAAAAGCAAAAGGAAAGAAAAAAGAAAGAAACTTACAATCTAGTTGGGCAAGACCAACATACAAAAGTGCAATACACTGAGGTCCTAAATGTGTTGGGAAGTGTCAGGGAAAACTTCCCACAATGGCCCATTTTTCACAATAGAATGAATCCCATGTTTTACTCAGCTTTGTAAACTCCATAGTTCCTAGGAAGCACTGAACAGATGTTTGTTGAATGAATAGCTAAAGTTAACCCATTTCCTCTGTTTGTTGTATGTGCCCCTACTAGCTACTCAATAAAGCTCAACTCAGAAGGGGCAGGGGTTGACTGTGTGGTGTAGCACTTATCTAGGATGCTCAAGGCCCTGGCTTCCATCCCCAGGACCAAGGGACTAAAAACTACATTTCTTTTGCTCCCCCCTTCATATCCTGAATAGCATTTATTCATCCAACAAATACTAACTACCACTAAATGCGAGCCACTGTTCTGGCACAGGAACATATCAAATAAAGACTTGCTCTAGGGCCAGAGATTTGGCTCAGTGGTTGCGCCGCCTGCCTTGCAAGCGTAAGGTACCGAGTTCAATACCCAGTACCACCCCCAAGACTTGCTCTGGTGGAAGTAACATTCAGGTGAATCAAACAAGTACTCTCCATCTCCAAAAAATAAAACCAAACAACAACAAAAAAACTGAACAAGATCATTTCAGATCATTTTAATTGCTATGAAGAAAATAAGCACTTTAATTAATTATGGAAAATATGATAAATAGTGACTACGGGACAATTCTAATTAGGAAGACCAGGCTATGAAGATGACGAACTGCTGTACACTGGTTAGAAAATATCTTTATTTTACTTTTATTTTTCAGAGAAGGCAAAGCTAAAAACTATCTAAAATTAGGAGCCAGAATTACACGGTGCCACTGACAAAAGATTGAAGATATTTATAATTTAATTTAAAATACTGCTTAGGGCTGGGGATTTAGCTCAGTGGTTCCACCGTGTGTCTTGCAAGCACAAGGACCCAAGTTCAATCCCCAGTACCACAAAAATAAATAAATAAAATACTGCTTAATATACCGAAGAATTTACATCTAATTCAATTGTTACAAGAATTGAACCCTGATCATGCAGTCACTTTTCTTTTGGAGGGGAGGAGATGAGAGACAAGTCTTTCTATGTAGTCCAAACCAGCCTCAATAAGCCTGCCTCAGCTACTTAAGTGTTGGGATTAGAGGTGTGTGCCACCACACCCAGCGTTCCCATAAATTTTATGTAAAATTAGTTTGGTTTTATTTTTGTACACGATAGTTTTCTGGTATAGGGGATCGAACTAGGGACATTGTGCTTGTACTTGCAAGGCAGGTGACGGAACCACTGAGCTAAATCCCCTGGCTCTACACACAGTAGTTCTTACTTTATTTTAGAAAAGAAAATTTGACCATATTGCATTTTTTTAAACCTTTCTGCTTGCTTTTTTTTTTTTTTTTTTTTTTTTTTTTTTGGAGACAGGGTCTCACCATGTAGTTGAGACTGCCCTGAACTCACTATGTAGCCCAGGCTGGTCTTGAACTCACAGCGATCCTCCTGCCTCAGCCTCCGAGTGCTGGGATTACAGGCGTGCACCACCATGCCCGGCTCTGCTTGCTTCTAAAAAAGGCGAGGGAGGGGAGCCAAGGAGCCACCTGCTTAAACAAGGGTCTTCGATAGAGGAGGCAACAATTTGATTTCTATAGCATTCAGGCATTTTACCTTCAACAGATAGTATTCAGCATAACATCTGAGAGAATGTAATATTCCACGATATACTTAATAACCTTTACAAAGGGTAGTACAAGGAAATGTTATATGTAAAATAAGTTATTTTTTTACTAATGTTGCAAGGAAATGGATAGCAGGTTTTTAAAAAATTAACAATGATTTTAGCAAAGTATTTACTGTACCAAGACTCTATTTCTTTCCCATGGGTGAAGAGAGGATGTTGACATTAGAGGGTCCCTAAGGATCCCCCCCAGCCTTAAACACTGATTCACCTCAGAAGACAGATCTTAGGAGTATCAAAATCTTCACAGAAGGAGCAAAGAGGATGTCATAGTGAGCGTTTTTTTAAAAAAAATGTTCATTTGGAGCTGGGCATGATGGGTGCAGCCTGTAATCCCAGCACTAGGAAGGCCGAGACAGAAGGACTGCCACAAGTTCAAGGCCAGCCTGAACTACAAAGTGAGATCCTGTCTCAAAAAAACACAAAAACAAATGCTCATTTGGAGTTTTTAAAAACCATCTTCTTCTGATGTAATAGGTCAGGTAAGATCGCACAGCAAGATCCCTCAGCAGGAATATTTTCTATATACTAATGAATATAGTATTCATTAAAACAGGGTGTTCAAAAAGAACCGTATACAGTACAGCCAAAAGCATCTGATAGGAGAGGGAGAGAGGCTAATTTATCATGTTGAGAGAGAATCACTGAGAAGAAAATTGTAAATTTCCACCATTTTCATTCTCTTTATCCGCTCCTACAGAGAAGAACCCAGCTTTAATTTTATCTTAAAAGAAGTAGTTAAAGCTACAGACATCCTCACACATCTTTTTGTTATAAGGAAATGCCAAAATATTGAAGAAGCTCTATTTTCCTACACATATCACCATCTTATTTAGTACTGCGAATGCTTTTCCCTAATATTCCCCACCACCGGCCTCCCTCGGCTGGGGCCGGCGTTCTCCACCACCCACTGGTAAAAATCCACGTCTGCTCCTTTCATCCCAACCCATAAACAACCATTTCCTCCTGCAGCCGCGGTCACAGCTGCCTGGGGCTCTGTTCCGCCCAGCCAGAGCCGAGTCCTGCAAACTGGGAGGCTGCAGACTGCGGCGCCG